TTTTTGCAGAATTGGGGATTGAACTCAGGCCCTTGCGATTGCCAGGGAAGCGCTTATTCCACTGAACCATCTCCCCGGCCCCTCTCTGCTTTCTGATTCAGCAGTCAGTGTTCTTAATTGACTTGTAAATGAACAAGCTTATTTTGACAAAGAAATTTATTCTGACCTAGTTTCCTGAGTGGTATTTCATATAAAGATCCAGGTTTCATTTGGGTTAAATGTACTAATAGGATACAGTTTTTAAATTGTACTGTTGAGTCATCTGTACCTTTTAATACTTTCAGTGTGTCATATGTATGGCCTTTATCAAAATGTCTGCTATAATACTGTTAAGAGACTTTGCCTATGGGTATTGCTGTGCTGGTGTGTGAGACTTCGACAATTAAACTCCAGTGTGGTATTCACTTCCGGATACCTTAACTTCACATTTTGTGCAATGGCTTTAAGACTGACTTTTTGTGAATGTACTTTGTGGCCTTTTTGAAGATAAGAAATTTAGGAGAACATTTCATGTTAATAAGACTGAAAAAGTATGGTTCATGTGGTAGGCAGAGCAGTGTGTTTATAACACTTTCAGGGTTCTGGTTTTGGATGTTTTTTAGGAGATCTTAAAATGTTTTAAGTATTCTATATTGTAGTGCCACAACATTATGGAAAAGCAGCATAATTTTCCAAAAACATGGAAAAGCACTTCCAAATTTTTCTCTGCTGTCACCAATGAACATAGTACCCTCTTAAATTTCTCCCACCTTGATATTATTGTAATCAACAATAAATGGATGTTTTTGAGGTGCTCAGTTGGAATTTAAAATATTCCAATCTGTTTGGAGACCAAAGGCAAATTTAGTCGTTACCTTTGGAATTACTATTAATATCTTTTATGATAAATTTCAGCTTTGAGTTTACTGTGAGAACATACCAAAAAAAGCAAAAAAACCTCCCGAAACGGGTTTCTAACTTCAGTCTGTAAAGAAGGTTTCAATCTGTAATGTTGGCCTTTTTAGGTGCCATTTATACTGCTTACTGTAGTGCCATTTGCCTTGTGAAGATCCATAAATACTGTATTGAATGTAGGACACACTTTCCCTAATCTGATCTCAGTACCCCACAGATGATGAAGCAAGCTACAGAAACCACCAGCTAAGGAACATCTTATTAATTTCAACAAATTCATGACAAGTGTCCTGTCTGTATTTAGCAAGTAAAACTTAACACTGACCTTTAGTGCATTGTGTTCAGCTTTTTTTTTTTTTTTTTTTTCAAGCCAGGAATTAGCGCATATTCAACTGAGCTGTCTCCCCGGCCCCTGCGTTCAGCTTTTTTTTTTAAAGAATTATGTGTGTACTGGAAGGAGAAGAGATTAAAGTTTCACATTTTGTTTGTGCAACACGCACAAAGGAGCAGTGAAGTCCATTTGTTTTTTCCCTGAACACAATCTGCCATAGTTCACAAATGATGGAAACAATTCAAAAAGAAAACTACATGGAGATTACATATAAGGTTTGCCTCTCAAGTGTTTTTTGAAGATTTAAAAAATTGATTCTTTTTAAGAGGAAAATACATATTCAAAACTATTGAACTTTTTAAAAACTATAGGTTGGGGTCTGGGGAGATGGCTCAGTAGAATAAGCACTTCCCTGGCAAGCACAAGGGCCTGAGTTCAATCCCTGGTTCCACAAAAAAAAAAAAAAAAAAAAAAAAGCCAAAAAACAAACTATAGGTTGTATATACACTTGTTTGCTATCAGATAACTTAAAATTTTCTGATACAGAGGCAGTCACACTCTGGATTGGTATGTATTTTTATGATCGTTTGCTCAGAAAATTCAACTCTCAAGTCCAAGCAGTAGATACTGAAAGCACATTCTCAGAACACCTTCATAGCAGATAAAACTTTTCTGCCCTTAACACTCAGAAATAGTTCCAGATGTGAGAATTGCCAACCTTGTGATTCTGCTATACAGTGTTTTTAATTCTAGAAGAAACTACCACTAAACCTCTCTTACTTTTCCCATTGTCTAGCTTTGTAGAACCAACTTTACCAGATGATGTCCTAGTGGATTTGTAACTGAAACCATGAAAGAACCTCCTCTTTCCTAAAACCTAATATCCACTTGTGGATGTTACGGCCATAAGAGTTTGGCTTTTTCAAAGTAATGTATTTTTGTTCTTTCACTCAAGTATAAGTATTTGGCACTTCTAGATGTGTTTTAACTCACAGAAAAAAATATTGATTAGAATTTGAAGAAGTTCTAGAAATGAATCCACACTCCCTCTTCTAGACTTCTTCATGCCTGGTACCTTTCGTTGTTTACATGCTCTTTTGCCCAAACTTAATATTCTAGTGATCCCTTTGGGGCTGATAAATAAGAGCCAGCCTTTTCTCTTGTAGTATTGATCATAACTTTAACATTCCTAAGAGTATGCATAATTCTGAATGACTTAAATTGAAAGAAATTTTAATATATAAAATACAATGTTCTTTCTGTCCATTCAGAGCTCATCACGTTTATATTTCCCATCAATCTGTACACTGATTTTTTTTTTTGCTACTCTTAAAAACTGAAAATTCTAGTTCCATTTTTATGTTAATAAACTTTTTGAATGTGTACCCCAGTGTATGTGAACAGTTATGACATGTAAGTTATACCTAAATAGTGAACTTCAAGAGTTGATAATTTTTGCCCATTCATGTAAGTTTTTGCTATTGCTTATATGTACATGGCTATAAATTATGTGCATTTATTCTGTATTTATGTTAACTAGCTTTTACTTGAATTGTTAAAATTCAAAACATTAAAATAAGCTTATAAAAATGTTGTAATTTTTTCCATTTTGTGTCTTAATATTTTTGCATGTGAGAGTAGAATGATATTGTATTAGAATTGCCCTGTATTTAAGCAAAAAGCACTGCCATTTTCAAATTAAATGTTAGGCTTACATTTAGCAAACTTTCTTTTGCACCTTCCTTGTGTTATAGAACTATATTTCTAGGAACCAAATGGTCTTATAATCTAATTTTTTCACAATTTGGTAAGAAATATCTATCATCACTATTCTTCTCAATATTAAAGGAGGAGCAACTCATTTAGTTCACAGTTTATAGAGGTTTCAGTCCATCATTGGCTGACTCCAGCACATGGTTCATGGCAGCAGAAGATACTAGAAGCATCAAGAGAGGAGCAGAGGCAAGCCTCTTCCTCCCTAGGTTGTGTGCAGGCTACTTGCCCTAGGGTGGGTGTAGCACTCACACCCCCAACCCTAAACAATAAACCTGTCACAAATGCAGCTGCCTCTATAAAAGCCCCTCTATGACTGCATGAGGCTTTGAGGAGACATCCAAAATCCAGACACAAAGCATGACACTGTTCTTGCACATATCAAAACAAATTCATGTTACAGAGAACACTCGAAAATTGGAGGCTTAATTATTAGATGAGTATACCCCTCAGTTGTGGTTTTGTGTATGTGTGTGTGAAAGAGAGACAGTCTGTCTGTATAGTCCAGGCTGGCCTTTGTGTAGACAGGCTCGTCTCAAACCCTCAGTAATTCTTCTGCCTCAGCTTCCTGCATGCTGGGGTTTCAGGTTGTGATATTTTTAACAAGCTTTTTTTGATTTTAGCTTTTAGGAAAATTAAAAGTACAGAGTTGAAAACTTGTTAGAAATAGCAGATTAATCCATATACATGGGACTGAAATACATGTGACATGGATAAAAGTGCTATGTCATGTGTATCCTGTTTACATTTCATTGTAGGTTTTTCTGAATTGTGGCTAACATTGTCTTACAGGTGAGGACAGGCTTGTGTTGTTTATCTGAAAGTTAACATAAAACAAATAGTTCAGTGGTACTCTGTACTCGGTACCGGCAAAGTAATAGTTGAGACTGGTGTAATGTAGCTCCCATAGCCTAAGCTTAAATTGTGCTTACGTGGTCATAGCAGAAATGTCAGGTTAGACTGAATAGAGAAGGGATCAAGTTCCTAATGCTTTCAGTGTTCAAGTGCAGCATCCATCCAACTCTTACAAATTCAGGCAGACACAGCACATAATTAAATACCTTTTTCTCCTTTATTGCACCACACAGAGCAGCTGGCTGCCTTAGTATCTATTGCTTCAATTTAGAATTTATGTTCATA